AAACTAATGTCTCTGCTTTATAATATGCTGTCTAGGTTGGTCATCACTTTCCTTCCAAGGAGTAAGCGTCCTTTAATTTCATGGCTGCAATCACCATCCGCAGTGATTTTGGAGCCCCAAAAAGTGAAGTCTGACACTGCTTACACTGTCTCCCCATCTATTTCCCATGAAGTGATGGGACCAGATGCCATGATCTTAGTTTTCTGAATGCTGAGCTTTAAGTCAACTTTTTCACTCTCCTCTTTCACTTTCATCAAGAGGCTTTTTAGTTCCTCTTCACTTTCTGTCATAAGGGTGGTGTCATCTGCATATCTGAGGTTATTGATATTTATCCTGGCAATCTTGATTCCAGCTTGTGCTTCTTCCAGCCCAGCGTTTCTCATGATGTACTCTGAGCCTAAGTTAAATAAACAGGGTGACAATATACAGCCTTGACATACTCCTTTTCCTATTTGGAACCAGTCTGTTGTTCCATGTCCAGTTCTAACTGTTGCTTCCTGACCTGCATATAGGTTTCTCAAGAGGTGGATCAGGTGGTCTGGTATTCCCATATCTTTCAGAATTTTCCACAGTTTATTGTGAGCCACACAGTCAAAGGCTTTGGCATAGTCAATAAAGCAGAAATAGATGTTTTTCTGGAAAAACTTTACTTTTATTTACTTTTTTAAAAAATTTACTTTACTGAAGTAAGAAATAGATGATAAAAGCAAATATAAGTCACTGAAAGGTAAAGAAATTCATCATCTGTGATTGAAAGCTGCATTCTAAGAAAACTTTGTTCTCTTAATGTAGAGAGGAGACTAAATTCCAGCCTGGTACAAGCTTACCAGATAACAAACAAACAAAAAAATTGTTTATGAGTAAGCTTAGAAAAGTCTTTTCCACGTATAATTTGAATTAGCAGCATTTTTGCAAAGGCATCTATGTGAAACCATAGAAGACATGTTTAAAACCTGATTAGATAGAAATTGACAAAGTAGTCTGGTCACTGCTGTGACTTGAAACACTTTAATATGATAACTAGAATTAGAACTGACAGCATTTAACCAGGACATATCAGATTTTTATGGATGTCACATAATTTTAAGAATACCTATATTAGTAACTGAAGGAGTCTTTGGGCCTAGAAAAGAAAACAACAGTCTCAAAGGCCCTTGCTGAATCATTTAACTTCGGGGAAAACAAAACGGAACTTTAGGTCCCGCCCTGAGTCTCCAGGCCACTTGTATCTATCTGGGACTTATCACCCCCTGCTCAACTACAAATGCCATCTCTCTCTCCTCTTCTGCCTCGACCCTAACTATAGCTTACAGTAACATCCACCATATAATATAACTTGGGAAGATCCATCACTCCTTCTGACAGCATTTCCCATGTAGTTTAACATGCCAAGTGAACTCAGGTTGTTTAATATCTCTCTTTGGGGGGGTCTCAGGGGCCCTCTGAAGCATCCCAAAGTTAGCTAAAAGTCAATTATTTAGGAAGGTGTGTTCATAAATATCAAAAGGGTTTATAACAGTCTGGTAGGATCACATAAGTCATTGTGAAACAATACCTATCCACTTAGCCAAAGTTAATAAAAGATTTCAAAGGTAAACCTAGAACAGATCACTTAAGAGATAAAGAAATTTAAAATCCATTAGCAAAGGCAGCTCAACATCTCAAGAAAACTTGTACTAGGCACAAAACACTTTTTTGGGAGTCCACTTTCCATAAAACCTCCCTATCCCATTCTGTACCCATTCCTTTGCTTCTCCCACCCTGAAACTGCCACCTGTAAGTCAGAACTACTTCGTTTTCCTTCATCAAATGCAATTTCATTCCTCATACCTTCTTTAATAACAAGTCATACATTTTCCTTAAGCAACCAAGAACTGACTTTTTTTTTCCTTTAAGAACTGACTTTTATATTGGCATTCTATAGATTGGTGTCCATATGTATCAGTGACAATATCTAAAAAAAAAAAAAAATTGCTTACACTGAATATCTCAGGATGGCACCTCTGGTGGCATGACTATTCATGGATAGTCAAAACTGTCTTTAGTTTCTGTGTAAGAGGAAGGTCCTGTCAAGTAGTGAATGTTTTAGAACCTTACTTTATTTGGCAGTGACCTAGCTATTCAATACACTGTCATCACTTAGTTTAGCACAATGATAGAAACTCAGGTAACCAAAATCTGGAGAAACTATTGTCAGTTCAGTTCAGTTCAGTTCAGTTGCTCAGTCGCATCTGACTCTTTGTGACCCCGTGGACTGCAGGACGCCAGGCTTTCCTGTCCATCACCACCTCCAGGGGCTTGCTCAAACTCATGTCCATGGAGTCAGTGATGCCATCCAGCCATCTTATCCTCTGTCGTCCCCTTCTCCTCTGCCTTCAATCGAGACTATTATAGACAGATATTTTAGAGTATAATTATTGTTAATAGTTTATCTAAAAGCTCATACCACATTACATTTTTTTAGGAGTTTTCTTTGTTGCTTTTAGAGGTACTGTCTTTGTTGACAAGCTTGTGACAGATATAACAATATAGCAATTTTTAACTTATAATAAACCTAGGCACTATGAAAATTTTGTGTTTAATGTTAATGACTCTTAGACATGCCTATAGTAGAGTAGTGGGAAAAAAAGTACTAGATTTTTAATGTTGACTATTTCCCAGTTCACGTGAATCTGAAATTCATCTAGGTCATTTTTTTTTTTTTTTTTTTTTTTTTGGTATTTACAACTGCTTGATTTGTAAGGGCTTCCTTTTCTTTAGACCATTTCAATAAGAACTCACAACTTCAGCAATATTATCAAATAACAGAAGACTCACACTGAGACATACATAAATCCAGACAGACAGACAGAGATCTTCTAGTTTTCTGCCTGAGATTTAAAATATTTCTTTGAGTATATTATCAAGTGTGAAACAGATCACCAGTCCAGGTTTGATGCATGAGACAAGTGCTCAGGACTGGTGCACTAGGATGACCCACAGGGATGGGATGGGGAGGGAGGTGGGAGGGGGGTTCAGGATGGGGAACACATGTAAATCCATGGCTGATTCATATCAATGTATGGCAAAAACCACTACAGTATTATAAAGTAATTAGCCTCCAACTAATATAAATAAATGAAAAGTAAAAAGCCCCCCCTCCCCGAAAAAAGAGACACAGATGTATTGAACAGTCTTTTGGACTCTGGGAGAGGGCGAGGGTGGGATGATATGGGAGAAAGGCAGTGAAACTTATAAATTATCATATGTGAAACGAATCACCAGTCCAGGCTCGATGCATGATACAGGACGCTCGGGGCTGGTGCACTGGGATGACCCAGGGGGATGGGATGGGGAGGGAGGTGGGAGGGGGTTCAGGATGGGGAACACATGTACACCCATGGCGGATTCAAGTCAATGTATGGCAAAACCAACACAATATTGTACAGTAAAATAAATTAATTAATTTAAAAAAATATTTCTTTGAGTTCGTTTTTTTCTTTTTTTGGGGGGAGGCAAGAATAGTGGAGTGAGTTGCCATTCCCTTCTCCAGGAGATCTTCCCGACCCAGGAATCAAACCTACGTCTCCCACATTCTAAGCAGACGCTTTACTACCTGAGCCACCAGGGAAGTCCTGCACGGCCATGGAAAGGGTTACCTTCAAGCTTTGCCCTAGCAGACCTTTGTAACAAGTTAATTGCTTTTAATTGGATATGCGAACGAACCAGCTTTAGGGTTTCCAAGGGGGAAAAAAAAAACAACAAGGTTCCTAGGTCAGGTCATCTTTCCTTTCCGTAGTCATAGTTTTATCCCTAAATTATAGACAGATCAGCTGATAAAAAGCTTGAATTGTCTCTGTGGGGTGGATTTGCTCCTCATTGTGTTTCACCTGGCAGCAGTATCCCCCGCGGGCCTCTCCTGGAAGTGGGTGTGGGGGCAGGTCGCAAGCAGGAGCTGGGCGGGGCAGGGGGGAGTCCCAGTTGTGCTCTCAGGGTTGCCATTGCAGCTGGGAACACCCATTTTGTGGGCTCCTGGGTCCCCATAGATGGGCAGCCAGTGAGTGGAGCGCAGGAGTGTGGACCACAGGTGAGAGAACTGGGGCTCGGTGGAGCAGGGAACCACGTATTCTGCTCTCTCTGTTGGCACAGTCTTGGAGCCCCCTAACCTGGCCTTCACAGAAAGACCTCGCCTTGGAGTCAAGGCCTTTACCGCTTTACCCCTTCGCATAGAGCTCAGAACCTGGCGGTTTTCCCAGGCAGCCTAGTGGCTGCTGGAAGTCCGTGTGATTTATCCTGCCTGGTGATTTCACCTGCTGAGACTCCACAACCCTTAGTCTGGCCAGCTGGCCCAGCCCTGCTTCCGGCACTTTGCAGGCCAGCGGGCTGTTGACCACCTGCTGGGATGGGAAAGGGAAGGGTCCATGAACTGCACCCTAGAAACTTAGTAAGGTGCACGGATTTAAAAACCTGGCAGCCACCCAGGCAGGAGAGAAGGGAGGAGGGCGCCCTGCTGCCCTTTCCTGGGGGGTCTGCGGCTGTCCTGCTGAGAGGGCCTTTCCATGGGGACCCTGTGCCATAAGGGTGGTGTTTTGGAACTGAATAATTAGAACATGTAAAAATTTTTAATTATGTGGTGATTTAATTTAAAAAAACAAAAACAAAAACAAAACAAAACAACAACAACAACAAAAAAAACAAAACAAGCTCCAAGTCTTTTGCAAATTGAGGTCTCAAACTTGAAGGTCTATTTTCCTTCCACTGTGGCATTCTATGAAGAAATGTGCATTTTTCAAAGAAAAGGGTCAGAAAAGTGAGGGAAAGAGAAAACCCAGCGGTGCCCCTGTAGTTTGGTGATGGCCTTAGGAAGTCACTTGTAAATGCTGCTGGCCTTCGGGAGGCAGGCTCTTCCTGTGGCTGGTGGGCAGAGCTCTGCAGGCTTGTCCTTTGCATGGATGTTCTTGTTTGTGGAAATCCAGCTCGGAGCCATCTCCTGATGTGTAAGAATTTCCCAGACTATATCCCTAGGCAAATCCCGCAGGGCCAGGGGCTCCTTCCTTCATTGTATTTGTCTGTTTGACTGAAAACCAGCAATGACATATTTTTCTTTCAATCTGGTCTATCATCCAGGCCTTGGAGTAATACTTCCCCTCCCCCTCAATAGGCTTGGGTTCCAGGGATGAATTGTCAGTTGTCCATAATTTTGCAGATGGGGAAACTGAGAGCCAGAGAGGGTGGAGGACTGTCCAAGGGAGAATGGGATATCCTTCCAGGAACCCTGGCTCCTGGGTTTTTAATCAGCTTCCTACCCAGCATGGTCATTAACTGGCAAGTGTTGATATTGAGAATAAACTATTTGTGGAAATGTAAAGGCTTTTTTAAAGAATGTGCCTACCAGCTGTGCATCTTATGGAGTATTTTCATTGTACTCCCCAACCCTTGGAAAGTGCTGGGCACAGGGCAGATGCTTCATAATTTTTATTGAATAAGTTCAGTTATACATAATTATATCTGTAGTGTCAGCAACACTATGAGGTATATTAGAACAGTGATTGTCACAGTTGGTATTTCACAGATCAGTAAAGAAAGAAAACTTTTTATTAGGAAGACTGTAAGAGAATTGCTAAGTTTTAAGTTTATCCCACAAGGATATTTTTTTAAAAATGACACAAATCTCTCTGCTCATCACCAAGGATGTCTGTTGAGGACCCCACGCAAGGGAGGTTCTATCTCTTGGGACACCCCTGCTTCAGCATCTCCCTAAGTCAGCAATCTGGGACAGCTGAGTACACTTGAAGTTCCTTCCTTGACCTAGGGAGTTTTTTTGGAAGACAATTTTTTGACAGACAGTGGTGGGGGTAGGTTTTGGGATGTTTCAAGTGCAGGCCATTTATTGTGCACTCTATTTCTCTTTCTGTTCCCTGGTGGCTCAGTTGGTAAAGAGTCTGCCTGCAATGCAGGAGACCCGGGTTCAATCCCTGGGTTGGCAAGATCTCCTGGAGAAGGAAATGACAGCCCACTCCATTATTCTTGCCTGAAGAATTCAATGGACTGAGCAGCCTGGTGGGCTATAAAGGGTTGGACACGGCTCAGTGACTGAACACTTATTTCTAGTATTATTTCATCAGCTCCACCTCTGATCATCAGGCATTAGATCCTAGAGGTTGGGGGCCCCTGCTTTAGTTCCCTCTTTCATCTTCTACACAGCTCCAGCCTGCTTCCTCCTCCTCTTCCACCTGCAGAACTACCTGCCAGGCTTCTGAGTGTGACTAAGAGTCTCTATCTTCTTCCCTCACTTCCTTTCCTCTGAGTCCCTCCTCCTAACTGGGTTTCCCTATCTCCACTTAGGCACTTTTGCCCCAGGTGGTGCTAGTGGTAAAGAACCTGCCTGCCAATGCAGGAATCCTATCCCTGGGCTGGGAAGATCCCCTGGAGGAGGGCACAGCAACCCACTCCAGTACTCTTTCCTGGAAAATTCCCATGAACAGAGGAGCCTGGCTTCTCATTGCAGCACTTCCTCTGGTTGCAGAACTTGGGCTCTGGAGCATGCAAGAACTTCAGTAGTTGTATGGGGGCTTTGTTGCCCCTGGGCATGTAGAATCTTCTAGGATCAGGGACTGAACCTGTGTTCCCTGCATTGGTAGGCAGATCCTTTACCACCGGACCACCAGGGACATTACCTGTTCCCTTTCACTGGAGAATCATATTTAAAACATACATGTAGGAGCTAAATATGCTCACCTGGCAATACTTGGAGATACATACATGTATTCTACCTTACCTTTGAACATATTCAGTTAAAGGTAATTTGTGATGCTGTCTCCATGGATCTTGTAACCTTTCCTTTTGTTTATCCATAACTTCCCACACCAGTGGTAAGATACCTGGCTTTCACCACTTGTGACGTATAGAATTCAGTGCCTGCCCCATGTGGTTACTGAAAAAACTGTCAGACTGTCTTCCAAAGGGGGCTGTGCATGCATCCCACCAGTGTCTTGAGTATGTTTCTGTAGGAGAGTTTACTATCAGTATACCCTCTATGGCCAGGTGTCTATTTCAATCTTTACCAGTTATGAATGGGCTTGTTTGCTCTAGTGTTCTTAGACAATTTGATTAAAAATTCTTTGTCCAATATGCATTTTCTAGGAAAACGATTGTATTTATTTTTGGCTGTGTTGGGTTCATGTGTGGGCTTTTCCCTAGTTTGGGTGAGCGTGGGCCATAACTAGTGGTGTGCGGGTTTCTCACTGCAGTGGCTCCTCTTGTTGTGGGGCATAGGCTCAATATATACAATAAACCAAATCAAATCAAATTATTAGAATTAAAATATCTCATTCAAAGAAGTTAAAAATCACAGAACAGAATACAGAAACAACCAAGGATTTACAACTAGAAAAAAACTATTATATATATCCTAGTCTTTAAAATTCTATTTTAAGTTATTTCTTATTCAAAGATTTGTTGAATCTTAAAGATTCATTTTTACCTGAGATGGAAGAAAAATTCTTAAAGCCCATCACTTCAAGTTTTGGCTTGATTGTTTCTAAGAGGTCTGGAAGCTGAAATAAATACACAGTTTATATATTCAGTTACTTTTTATTAATCAAAGGAAGAGACAATTCTATATGGACCTACAACTCTAGACTGTTATTAATTAATGATAAAACTAAACTTGGAACTTTCAGTAACTTTCATCACAAGAAAACAAAATTCTTCATTAATGCTTTCAGTAGAAAATAATTCAACAACATGGAAAATCGTATTTTCACGGCTATTAACACTATTCTGTAGCTCCCCTCAATACCAAAAAAACCTTATGATAAAGACAATGTTTTTGCTCAACACATACAGTATTTGTCCAAGCACCACAAAACAATTAAACCTGAAAAAAGCAGAACTATGTATCACAGCACTTAAACACATTCTGTTCTTAAACAAAGTTCTGTTAATGGTAAAAGCAAGAACATGAAACCTACGTGGAGGACACAGGAAGACGTTTTAATAGTTCAGCACTTTTAAAGTATAAGTACTGGGTAAATAGACTAGAGGTAATTAGAATCCAACCCATTAAAGACCGTGGCTCCACAGGGTGAGCTGAGCTAATGAGGGCCTGGCTTGCCCTGGCCTGTGGCGTCACTGCTCAGGGGAAGCCAGGGCTCCAGGCAGGCATGAGGTAGACAGGCTGCTACCCCAGGAGGGGAGCGTGCCAGTCAGGGGTGGAGGCAACGCCAGAGGGAGGGAAAGGATGCTCTCTCTCAGGGGCCCTGGGTCCACAAGTCTGAACCCCATGAGGCCAGACAGTGAGAACACTGAACCCCACACTTAGAATCCTCTGCGACACAGGCTCGCCTGCTCCTGAAGCCTGTCCAGGTCTGTGACCAAACAGACAAGCTGAGTGCTGGAAATGGAGACAATGGGCTTTGTTTTAGAAGGGCCACTTGCTTGGTCTTTGCAATTTCCTTGGGTGATAGAAAGATCTTTGCTGCCAGTTTACCAAAGGCTTTTTAATATCCTTAGCACTTTCATTAGAGATGGGCCTGAGTAAAAGCTGAAAAAGGATTTCAGCGATAAAATGTTTCCACCTGCAAGATACATGAGCATGTAACTCAACACAAAATGCCAGCTTTCTACAAAGTATTAAGTGAAGTTAACTCAAGTAAGGATACCACATCCTGTCTCTCCAGGTAGGTGTGAAAAACAGAAACAGGACAAACTTTGACCCTATGTGCATTTCCTCTCCTTGACTTAAGTAACAGTCAGAAAGAAAGCAAGAGGTCCTGAAACTAAAGGAAAATTAAGATCCGGAACATTATAGGTTTTAAAAAGTTAATTAACTGCATATGGTAAACAATTTACTGTATTTACTTAATAATTATTATCATAAGGGTAAAAAAGAAAAAGTCTCGAACTCAATTATGCTTCAAATCATACAAACGACATAAGTGTTCTCTGCATAATGGATTGCTACAAGGGAAAAATCCTAAGAGAAGAGCACTTGCATTGAGAAAAGAATGGAAATATTCTAGGTGTAAGAATAATCACTGGCTGGCATCTTGCTGGGGATGATGAAGCAAGCCCAGGCCTCACAGAATCATATCAAGTCCACAGTGTCCCAAGAACTACACACTCTTCATGAACAGTTTCATAGGGCAGGGTGCTCTACTGAGACTCCTCTGAATAGAGGGAGGCAAAGGAGGAAGAGGAGAGGAACGTGGATGGAGCACCATTATCTGCTGGGCACCTTCGTTATCAGTTTGCTGGGCAAGAAATCTCTTTACTCCTCACCTCACAACAAGCACCTGTAGAAGCTGTGTTCCTATTTTACAGATGAAGAGTCTGAGATTCAGCCAATTTCCTTAAGACCACAAAATTAAAGAGCAGCAGGGCCAAGGTCTGACTTTGACTTGAAGCCTGTGCTTTTTCCACTGAAACACTCTCCTCCAGTTGACAGAGTGCTTCCGTGTCCGTGGATGATGGCTTCTCCATGTCATCTTTCCTACACTTCCGCTCATGCTCCCTTATACTCATCACCTTGCACTGGCCAGGGTGTGTGTCTATCACTGAGCTGTCTGTGCAGCAGGCATCTCTGAGACCTGGGGCAGACCTGGTGGGGCCGGGTGCTCAGCAGTGGACCACATGAATGCTCCTGTGGCTTTATGCACAAAAACTAATCAGTCATCATAGGCATGTGAATACCTAATACAGCCAAGCTGAAAAGGGTTTCTGAAATGAAGGCAAGGTTAATCAATTTTACCACCTTCTAATCTCAGCCACTTGGTGTTTTTCAAGTTCCAAATATTAAGGAAAAAATATGCATATTTTTATCATCTTCATTAAAATGATCATCTGTTTTATGGTGTCTCTGTATTGGAGGCACCATCCAAAGATTCTGCTTTTCCTAAGGGAAAATGAGGCCAATGTGGTGCTTTTCAAAAAGACAAAGCAATGAATATGTGACATCTGATGCCCCTAAAGGTCACATAAACAAGAGTGAAAAGGAAATCCAGTGAAAAGGATAGAAACTTGGGAAGTTGGGCTATAGCCCTTGCATCAACCTCTCATGACCACATGGGCTTTACAAATCTTGGCACGTTTAACTTAACCTATCTTTAATTCATTTCAGTCTTGATCAGGGATGAGCACCAGCCAGCCCTCACCTCCTTGACAGATTTGGAGTACCGCACCAGAATTTGCAGCGTCAGTCTCCACAGACGATGCGCCAGCAGCGGCAAGAATATCTTGCCAGACCAGCACCTCTGAAGGCTGCTCCACGTCCTATGAGAAGCCAAAAGGTGATGCGAGCTCCCAGCTATAGGTAAAAACACGCAGTTAAGGAGTCGCAGCAGAAGGGCTAACAGCTAAAATTTTCAACGTTTAAGCCAAGAGTGAAGCCAATGACATTCTGAAGAATCTTATGAGGTCAGTGAAGCTTTAGGGAGGTGCCAGGGACAGCCAAGAGGCCTGTAACGCTGTTTTCTAATTTTACATGACTCCTTCTCCCAGGTATTTGAAACATATTAAACATATATAGCAATCAGAAATAATCAGTTAACAGGTACTTTATAATAAAGCAACACATGCGAATTGGAGAGGCAGTCCCTTGCAAGGGTTTAATCTTTCGCTTTGAATTTGTCCTGTCTTCCCTTCCACTCCTGAATATGCTATTTAGATACAGGAAGTCAATTACACCTGGCTACTTTTGCAAAGACAGCTGAAAATAAACTTTTGAGGCTAAAAGAGTGCAGTTTAGATGGAACTTGGCCGCACAAATGGGAGCACAGTGGAGTGGAGCTTTGTGGCTACAGGAACAGTCACCCAAGTGAGCAGTCACCAGGGACGCCTAACACATGACTAGATGCAAACACGTCTGGAAAGCGTAGGCTGACCCCAGTCACCCGCCCACTGTGCCCGGACTGGGCCAAGGGCTCTGGAGGCCTGAGGCAGCAGTCCGAGCTGAGAGTCCTCCTCTGGAGGGAAGGGACATTCTGACCCTTTACCTCAGCTTGAGAGGGAAGTGGAGGGTAGCCACAAGGCTACAAAAACAGGCTGTCACTTAAGCACAGCAGGGATTACATCCCCTTGACACATTATATTCAGAAACAAAAAATGTGGTCTCCGTCCCGTGTTCTTTTTTTTTTTGCAAGAAGAAATGTTTTTAATTCAAATCCCCTTACTGCCCTAAAGGGAGCAAATTACAATTTCAGTGATTAAGCTTTTATTTTTTTTATTTATTTTTTTAAAATTTTTTTCCATTTATTTTTATTAGTTGGAGGCTAACTACTTCACATCATTGCAGTGGTTTTTGTCATACATTGAAATGAATTAGCCATGGATTTACATGTATTCCCCATCCCGGTACCCCCTCCCACCTCCCTCTCCACCTGATCCCTCTGGGTCTTCCCAGTGCACCAGGCCCGAGCACTTGTCTCATGCACCCAACCTGGGCTGGTGATCTGTTTCACCCTAGATAATATACATGTTTTGATGCTGTTCTCAGCTCCCGTGTTCTTAAAGCATCCTTTACATCATCTCTATACAGCCAGAAGCTCTAGAAACCTTTTAAAAAAAAAGAACTTAAACTATATCTTCAGGGTCTAACTTACTTCCCTGGTGGCTCTGATGGTAAATCATCTGCATGCAATGCAGGAGACCTGGGTTTGATCCCTGGATCTGATCCCTGGGTCAGGAATGGCTACCCACTCCAGTAATCTTGCTTGGAGAATTTCATGGACAGAGGAACCTGGCAGGCTACAATCCATGGGGTTGCAAAGAGTTGGACATGACTGAGCAAGTAACATTACTGGAAGACAGCAAAAGGTCAAAGTGCTCCCAGGGCGCTAAGGCCACCAAGAAGACTTGGTGAATGGAATTAACCCACTTAATGATAGCCTGTGTCACTCTGAGGATGTTACCTGGTGCATCTTCCAGGACATCTGTAATTGCTGCTTGTATGGATCCTGCTATTTCTCTAAATCTGAGAGAAAAACAAGAGTGTAAATGGCTGTTTTCTCTGCTTCAGGTGCCTGTCCCCCCAACCTCCCCCTCCCCAGGCAATAGGACCATTCTCCTGCTTGCTTGTAGGGCCAGTGCCTCAGAGACGCCCCAGCAGCCCTGATGCCTGGCCTCCAGACTTTTTTTTCTTACTGAGCAGGAAATAAACTTATCTGAATTACTTGACCAGGAAGCCATTTCTGGCAAGTCCTACCACCTATAATCAGGTAATCACTTCAGGGCTGTAAGACTGGTTTTTCCAGTCCTCTTACCTCCACATTATCAGAAGAAAGCAAATGTCCCTCAAACTAAGAAATGGAGAAGCTATATTCTGTGAGACATATCACTTAAAGTAGGCAGTTAAACTAGAACAAGTCTCTGCCAGGCGCTCATCAAATGTCTGCTACCTGTCTCTTGTGCTGCTATTGGTAACTGCATGCCCACCTTGAGGCTCAGGATCTGCTTTCTGGATGGGTTTTCTGTTTTCTCTGCTGGGCCATTTGTCATTTCATACCATCTTCTCAGAGACTTCTGTTTTAATATCTGATGTGGACACATTTTTACGACTGTGAAATGAAACTGTGTGTGTATTTATTTCCTTAATTAGCTGCCTATGTAGCATCCTCCTTCCCACCTATATAACCCTTCCATGTTCATACTTTTTTAGCACACATTCTTCTGTCACCCACTAGTTCCCTTGCTACCAATAAATTCTGACACATACTTAACACCAATTTACCTAATCCATAATCTTAGTTTTTTGGATAGTACTCATATGCTTTTTAAAAGCAGTTCAGAGACTGCTCTTCAGGAAACTGGAGAGTAAACGCAGCAGCACTTCATAGAAAGAGCAGCAGCCCTGCCCTCAAAGGCACGAGCGGCTGAGAGCAGAGGACTCTGGCCCACCCTGCCTGCTGGAGCTGGCCGCTCCCCACAGCTTCCCTGTGCCACACACAGGAAAGAACTCAGCGACTGCCCCGTGAAGCCTGCGAGAGGCGAGTCTCTCCAAGCAGCAAGGAGAGGCCCAGAGGGAACAAGTGGCAGAAGAGCCGTGGAGGAAGAGAAGGGAGCACTGGAGAAGCGCAAAGAAGGCGGTGGTCCTGAGCACACTGGGGAGGAGAGGGCAGGGGCTGCCCTGCAGTGAAGAGGGCAGACCAACTCCTGCATCCGCCTCAGACCCCGAATCCCACCTTTTGCCCACATCTGTTAACACAGGAAACACAGGAAGGAAGCTTCAGCACAGAAAAGGCCTGACACTACACAGCACTGTTCAGAACACGGAGAACCAGAAGCAACCTTCACAGCCCCAAGGAAAGGAAGGTTTCCGTAACATGCGGCACAGTTCCTACTGAATGCAGCATGAAGAGAAGTCGGCCGGAAGTTCTGTGGCCATCAGAGGAACAGGTATAACTCAGTTTAAGTAATGACACAGGATAAAACTGTATGTATGCCACAACAATCTGAAAACCATTCAAAGGAGAAAGTGCAAGACACAAATGCAGCAGGCCCCTAACATTAATGCCTTTTAAACAGACGTCCAGATGATGTGTGACCAGGTGTGAGATCCCTAAGACTAAAACTGTCTATGTCATGTGACCCAGTTGTCCCCTCTCCCTACCTTCCAGGAGCCCAGAACCCGCCCCTCAAGTAGCTTTGCTGGCCAGTAACTTCCAGGATTGAGGTGTTAGGTCGTACTTCTTCTTAGAAGATAAACAAAGTGAGATGTTACTTTGGTGAAATTTGAAAAGTTATGCTGTACTTTTCACAGGTATATGGGATGCCATTCTACTCTTGATAGAGGATTTGTAAAGAAAGGCAACCCCAAATGTAAACACTCCTAAACTCTTCCATTTGGGTATGGGGATGATCTGGAGACACACACCCCCTCCCCCCCACATGGCTCTACTGACGCATGGACACAACTTGGGGAGGGTGGAGGGGAAGGAAGGCGCATCAGTACCACACAGACTCCATGCTGTAAAGCAGCTACACCATGCTAAGCATGTGCTGAATGGAGCAGACAGAGAGCACACATGTGACCACCCTGGAAGCATACACCATTCTAGCAAGAGTTCAATTAAAAAAGACATACCACTGCCTGTAGCATTTAAGGCACTAACACCCAGCTTCCAGGCAGCCACTGATTTACTACCATTTGAGACTGCTGGGGGCCCATGTGTATTTAATCTCTTTCTATGAAGACTAATGCCTAACCCTACTTTCCAAAACTCCTGGAAGAACAGATGAAGTGTTGACACAATAGGGTATGTTGACACAATAGGGTACCGGAGACAGAAGGGGTGCCTGTGTGCTCACAGAATGGAGGTGGTGGGAGGGGTGCCTTTTTTCCTGAAGATGATGGGGATGTCGGCACAGAGTCAGACCCAGGACTATCTGATTGCTACTGAGAGTGCAATATTAGTACCAATATTCCTTCCTAGAAATTTGTTGAAACGTTACCACCCTACTGGCGTTTAGGCTTACTTTAAATGACCCTGAAGTGAATCAGATAGCAATACAGCTTTGACACCAGCCATATCTGCAGAACATTCTGTTATCCCAGAGAATAAATAATCCAGCCACTGACAAAAATCAACAGAAAGGTGTTCTACAAAGTAGTACCTGAATTTCTTTTTAAGTGGAAGAGCAAATGCACTGAAAACAGGTTCCACATGTCATAACTGAAATGTAACTTTTTTAATTTCATCAATTTTAAATAAAGCTATTCACAAAGAAAAAGTTAAGCAATTCCTTAGAATGCTTATGACTAAACTCTGGTGAAGATTAAAAATGTCTTTCATGGGACAGGCTGAGTTTCAGCATAGTTTAAGACTCAATTACCAGCTTTGAGAGAACCTATGAGAAGAAGAGAACATGCTGAGGCCAGGCTGTGCTACCCTGCAGGGCCCAGAGCTCCAGAAGGCAGAAGGACACGACAGTGCAAGATTCCCAAGTGTGGGGTCTGGGGTCTGGGGAAATGACTAGATAAGAGGCATCTGGAGGCAGTAAACAGGAGTATGGGCTGTGATGGTTATTAGATATCTAAAGCAATCTAAGCCAAAATGTAGACTACAGGAGACACAGAAAGTTTAAATTTTATTTCTCTACTGCACTCTTAAACTATAAAATGATGATTCACCATTTTAAAATTTTCTCACAAACCAAAAGAGCTTCTTGTCCTGGTTACATCTTGATCATCACGTAATGATTACGTCCCATGGAGTCCATGAGTATCTCAGACAAAAAGATCCTTAATTTCTTACCTACATTATAATATAACCTTGAAAAATTAAAGCCCAGTATTGTATGTAAAAGAGCACCATGCTAACGGTCTGACAACTTAGATTTCATCATCAAAAGATGATTATATACATTCTGAATCATGGCAAGTAATTACAAGTCAAGGGACTTAATGTATTTCCCTCTCTGTAATTATTCCTCAGACCTCCAGGGAAGGACTGCATCATAATTAAGGAAAGCATCCAGCAATCGAACCAAAAAGCTGGCAAGTCATTAAAAACCATTCTAACTAAAATGCTCGAGTTAACATCATTCTATGGAGGAACTTACTGTGATCTCACTCAAGAGAATCTGCAAAAATGGCTATATTATCATCTCTTTTTCTAGAGGAACATACATTGTTAAGAATTTATCCTAAATTGCCCCCAAATTGTCTACAGGACCACTTACTGACACTGGTGATATCATTATGCTATCTGGAAGGAAAGTGTCACCATTTTCCAGAACACTCACCAAGATTACAAAGGAAGCCAAAAGAATACCTACAATTCTTATAAATTGGTGGATGGAATCAGCTACAAAGAATATTTCAAGAAAGAACACTTTTCCTGATTCCCTCTGAGGATAAAAATGTTACAGATGAGCAAAACTACAGATGAAGGATAGGCCTGCTATTTGAAGCAAGTGATGGAAGAGGAAAATGGAGAGGAAGAGCTGCCAGGTGAGCAGCTCTCTCCATCTCTTCATGGTGAATGAAGGCATAGCGCCTGGGAATGAAGCTGGGCCTGGTTTAGCTCCCTTGGAGTCCAGCGTTCTCAGCTTGCTAATGACAAGAAACTAAAACTTAATCCTTATGTCATACAGGGCAGAACTTTGGCAATCATGATACTTCTTGTGCATTTCTGCTCTAAATTGTTTCCCAAGGAATAATATGATGGTTTTCAAGAAGGGGCTGTGAGATGGAGTTCAGTCCATCTGAACTGGTGTTGAAATTCTATTTCAGAAGGGTGGAGGTGATGGGAATAAATTACTGACCTTATTTGAAAATAAACAGGCAAGTTCCACTTATTATTGAAGCTGTGATAGGCAGGATGTGCTCCTAATCTTTTTACACTGGCCTGTGATCCACACTGCCATTCAAATGTTCTTACAAAATACATACTTATGGTATATTTCTAAAATAAGAACAAACAGGTGGAATTTTCATTTTAAGGAAACTAACCAGAATCGGGATCATATACTGAAAAATGGAAATCAAGATAAAGATCAACACAGAGAATCACAGGTTTAAGATCTCATTAGGCCCTTACAGGATCTTCCTCTGAAGATCCCCACACTGAGTAATGCCCAAAGTGGTTCTATGACTTGCTCAAGGTCTTAGGTGGCAAGCCCATCAAGAGACCCAG